GAACTCACCAATACTTTGATTGGTGTAGTTCATAATCTTGTCAAATAGCTGAATTCTTGATGTTTCGCTAGGGCTATCAAGGGTGTTTTTATCGTAACACCATCACTAAATGGATTGCCGACCAAGGCTCAGAGAGACTCCATTCACCCTCCTCTAAGAGAGGGTTTGAATTCAGAGTTTTCCTTCTCCTAGACCAGTTGCCAAGTAGATGAAATGTAAGTAGATGAAAGTCAGTTTCCACCCGCCAATCTTAGTTAAACCCCGAGAAATTAAAGAATGAGCAATATACTTTTAATAAAACTAAACACATTGTTCTGCCTACCAACTCTATCGCAATTACAATTGAAAAGAATTTATCTAAACATAACATTTGTTACAACTACTTCTAAAGCAACAAGAGGCTTAATTACTACAAAACAAAATAACAACCACTTAAAACCTGAAGCAGGAATTTACTCTATAGTATGTAATGACTGCCACAAGGAATACATTGGAGAGACCTCGTGGAATTTAAATCAGATTATATAAACACAAAAGAGATCTTTTTCAAAATGCTCACTTGTTCATCATAATGAATCTGACCATAATTTCGATTTAAATAACGTTGCTTTAATTATGCGAGAACATATTTGCCTTAGTAAATTTACTCTATAGACTGTAATCAATTTTACGGGTACTCCTATATGACAGTGAATGAGGGACCATTTCATGACAGATGAAGAAGAGACTTGAAGCAGTAGAAATGTGGATCTGCAGAAGGATGCTGAGAATACTATAGACGGAACATGTGAGCAACAGCGAGAAAATGGAAACAAAAATGACAATTATACATAGCATCAGGAAGAGATAGATGAAATTTTTAGGATACATAATGAGGAAAGGAGGCTTGGCGAATTTAACACTTATGTGACATATTGAACGACAGAAAAACAGAGGAAAGCAGCCCATAACATTCCTAACAAGGTTGAGTAGAACAGGGATTAGGAGAAATAGCAAAAATACAAACTTTACTAAGGACTGCAAAGAACAGGAAGCTGCGGAGAGCTGTGATTGCCTACGTCTTAAAGGGACATAACACATAGAAGAAGACGTACATATTTAGATTCAGTGGAAACACAGAGTGAGCAGTATTAAATACGAACAAGTCAGTATATCCTAAGCCATTGTCAGTGGGATGAGAATAATCTACCTCCTAGATTAAATAAAGGGTTCAGATCGAAATTCCCTGAAGGTTGCCTGGATGGACTAACAGAACGGCCGAAAATAAATTATCTTTTATTCTTTGAATTAATACTCGTTTGGCATCAGTCAGCAATCTCTCTATATTTTGAACTGAATCCTTTATTTAACCAACAAGTGTATATTGTTCTTGCTTCACCGTCAATATCTAGATAATTTTCTTTTTGTACTATTAAATATAGCTTAGCTATTTCCCGCCATATTTCCATTGAGTCTAAGCCTGTACCACCCAGAACAGGAATTGAACTCACAATTACTATGCCAAATTTCACAAACCGAAGCTAGGCTGGTGGTATAATTACCATAAATTCTCATGATACCTCAGCGATCGGAAGCAATCAGAAGTACCGCTTGCGGTGTACGTCTTTCACGTGATAGCAAATGAGTGGAAGACGTGCGGAGTCAAAGCCACGACGGCCGTTTCTTTAATCCCAGTAAGATTGAATAACAGCAGGAAGGAAAGTATTTGTTGATGCTGTTGAAATATACTGGAAGAAAAAAAACTTACAATTTCCCCTAGTTGTTTGTAACTTTGTTTATTTTGCGTGTCCCATGTGAAGGCTGACATGACACAACTAGCAAACAGATGTGGTTCACTGTTAATTAAAAATGCATGATTTTTTGTTATTTTTATCCGACTGTAGATTTCATGCTGTTGAGAACAGCTCACTTTTAAGATGTTTGTGTGCATTTGGAGTGTTTGCTTTCAGTGAGAATAAACGACACCAAAGTTTCTCTTTCGCTTTGAGATTTTTAATAATTTGTAAAGCAAGTCACTATAGTCATCTCCAACTTTATAAAATACTAATTTATTCAAAGACCGAGTCCAGCAAATATACAAAAATAGAAAGGGTCGTAAGGCAAGGATATGTCTTATCACCGGACCTATTCTACCTATACAGTGAGGTGATTCTGAGAGAATTGGAAACCCTGCCGGGATTCAGCACTGGCGGCCACAATCTTAACAACATAAGATACACAGATGACAAAGCAGACACGGAAAGGAAATTACAAAACCTCCTACAGAAGGAGAGCGAGAAGAAAGGACTAAGCATAAACTACAAGAAGACAGAATGCATGGTCATCGGTAAAAGGATGAGCCCGAAATGCGATTTGCAGGTCGGGGACGCTAAAATCGCTGACAGAGGACGGTAAGTGCGACACTGAGATCCGAAGACGTATTTGGGATGGCCAAGGATACATTCCAAAAGCTGGGTAGAGTACTGTGATACAGGAGGATTTCTTTGGTAACAAAGAAAAGAGTAGTGAGCTGTTACGTGATATCTGTCCTTCTTTACGGCAGCGAATGTTGGACGGTCTATTCAAAGATGAAGAAGAGATTCGAGGCGACAGAGATGTGGTTCTACAGAGGAATGCTAAGGATATCGTGGACCGAACATATTGGAATGGCCAATGACACATTCCAAAAGCTGGACAGAGTATTGCGAGACAGAAGGATTTCTTTGGTAACAAAGAAAAGAATACTGAGCTGTTACGTGTCATCTGTCCTTCTTTACGGCAGAGAATGGACGATTTCCTCAAAGATGAAGAAGACACTCGAGGCGACAGAGATGTGGTTCTACAGAAGGATGCTAAGGATATCATGGCCCGAGCGTGTGAGCAAGGATGATGTTTTGGAGACTTATACTTAACATCAGGAAGAGGCAGCTGAAGATTCTGGGACACGTAATGAGAAAGGAGAGCCTGGAGAATCTGATACTCACGGGTCGAATAGAGGGAAAGAGAGACAAGGGAAAGCAACCCATGACATACCTAGTGGAATTTAAGGACGTGAATAACAGAACGTGGTCTGGGGGATTGGCAGAGAGACAAGGGATAAGGGGAAGTGGAGAGCCATGATCGCCTACGTCCTGAAAGGACACGGCACATAAAAAGAAAAAGACCACCATCTTGATCTTTATAGCAACAACGTTTCGATCATGACGTTAGACTAACCCCTTCATGGCCGTCCCAGGACAGTTCTGAAAAACAACTTTAATCGTCCCGAAATTTCGAAATCAAAATGTTTTTTTTTTTTGTAAAACTTAGTTTTCTTTTATAGTTCTTATTAGCGGAATAAAAACGCCATTAAAATGTTTAAGAGATAAATTATAAAAGTTAAAATATTAAAGTTTTAAAAATGGATATAAACAGAAACAAATGAGATATTTGATAATATTTGTCCAAACTTGCTTAAGCATTTTAAGAACAGAGGAAAGGAAATTACAAGAACTCTTACAGAAGATAGCAAGAAGAAAGGACTAAGCATCAATTTCAAGAAAACAAAATGTCTGGTTGTTAACAAAATGAACAGCTCAACATTAAAATTACAAATTGTAGATACTAACACAACAATTTAAATATCTGGAAAGTATTTTAACAGAGGGTAGAGAGAACGACACTGAAATTCGAGGACGCATTGCAATAGGAAAAGGTGCCTTCCAAATGCTAAGCAAAGTATCAAGAAAAAGAAAAATTTCGTTAGAAACAAAGAAAAGAGCACTGAAGTGTTACGTGATACCAATCCTCTTGTATGGCGGTGGATAGTCGACAATTTGCTCACAGACGAAGAAAAGGTTTGAAATAACAGAACTGGAGTCCTACAGAAGGATGCTGAGAATATCATGGACAGAATATGTGAGCAACGACGAAGTTTTAGAGAAAAACGGAAACAAAAAGAAAACTTATATTTAACATCAAGAAATACAATTGAAATTTCTAGTGTATATAATGAGGAAAGAGGGCTTGGAAAATTGGATACTCAGAGGACAGATTGAAGGCAAGATGAACAGAGGAAATCAACGCATGGCCTACCTAGCGAGTTTGAGTAAATGGGACTTACGGCCATATCATATTGAAATACAGATCCAAGCAGATGACGGAAGTTGACGTTTACCCAGATGAGCGATCGCTTTGAAATACAAAGTGCTGTAAGGTTTGAGATGCGGGTGGTGTAATGAATAATGCATATCCCGTTAAAAAAAATCAGCCTTGATAATTTTCTTTTGGCACTTCACTATCGAAACAAAATTGCAAATATTGTAGTAATTTTATAACATGCATTTGTCATAAATTTGAATATATATATATATATATATATATATATATATATATATATATTTTTCTTTTCAACATCATCACTTGATAAGACACAGAGTGTGTTGAAACAAAATGGCTATTTTTGTAGTGATTTTATAACATACTTATGTTGTAATTTTTTAAAAAAATATATATATATATATATATATATATATATATATATACTTTTCTAATACTCGAAGAAAAAAATATTAAAATAGATACTAATTAAACATCTTTATAAAGTTTTAATGAAAAATTTTAATTAAATTTTATATTTTTTCTTATATTTATTTTCGTTAGCTCTACGCGCTTTAAGAACGTTCTTTTATCTATTTTATTTACCTATATCAAATCTCCATACTTACATTATATTTTAACGTATTTCCTATGTACAAATCTCACGGATACCTATTTTTAAATTTTGTGAACTGTTAAAATGTTTCAAATTAGCCACAGCGTTTTTAAGTAGCAGGTTTATCATGTTAACGTTTTTTTTTAGTTAAATTTTTCAGTTGTTTAGAGAATGCTTGCAGACGGAAAATGTTAGAAAAGAAATAAAAAAAAACAACATCCAACTGGTTTTCATGTATTCCCTCTTACTGTGTTCGGATATCTCATATCAACTAAAAAATTTACCATTTGTATAGACTCGTATTCATTTTCGTACCATACTAACACACATGCATGGAGCAGACGTCTATATCATATCTCACTTTATTCATATCTATCTATCTATCTCTATATATATCTATCTATTTAAATCTGTTCATATCTATCTATCTATCTATCTATCTATCTATCTATCTATCTATCTAAGTCTGTTCATATCTATCTATCTCAATCTAAGTCTGTTCATATCTATCTATCTATCTATCTATCTATCTATCTATCTATCTATCTATCTATCTATCTATCTATCTCAATCTAAGTCTGTTTATCTATCTATCATCTATCTATCTATCTATCTATCTATCTCTCTATCTCAGCCTGTTCTATCTATCTATCTATCTATCTATCTATCTATCTATCTATCTATCTATCTATCTCAGCCTGTTCATATCTAGCTAGCTATTGATGTGACAACAACTCGTTACCACCGAACCCTACACCTTGAAGCGATTTCAGCTTGAACGGTGGTCAGTCTCTCTGGAATGCCGTACTGGAACCGGTCCAACACCAATACGATGCACTGACACACTACTATCTGACATCTGCAAAGTGTGGGTTCCAGTTTGGGGTCAGGGTTTAGGGTAAGAGTCGTGCCTTGGTTCTAAGATTATCGTCGGTGTCTGGGTTTGGTCGGCGGGCGACACGAGTTAATTTCGAATTCCTAGGTAAAGGAAAGGTAAGGTTAGAAATGTGGGGTGACAGACAGATGGATTCAGACGAAATGACTTTGCGGATGGAAAGCTGTAAGCTTATAACAATTTCAGATATCAGTTATTAAGAATATTCACTGATCTGCTGTTTCAGAGATTCAGGCAAATGCACACCAACACTTTCTTATAAATGAGACTTTTTTGTTCTCTTTTTCTTTTATCTTTTCCTCAGTTTCTACGTTTACTTTTTCTTTGATTTTAGTTATTTTGCTTTTCTTACATATTTTTCTTCTTTTTTGTGTTTTCCCATCTGTTTATTTTCATTCTTTTCTTTCATTTTTTACGTTCTTTTTCTACTTTTCTATTTTCTTTCTTTTTCTTTTTCTTCCTTTCTTTCAATTATATTTTTCGTTTCATTTTATTTTTTTCTATCTTCCACCTATTTCTTCTTAATTTTCAATTTATTTTTCCTTTCCTTTTTTCTTTTTTCTATTCCATGTCTTACTCTTCGTTTCATTTTAAACTTCATTTTTTTCTCGTTCAACGTGCATATATCTTTCTTTCTATTTTATTTCTTTCTATTTTCTTTCTTACATTTTATTTGCTCATCTTCTGTTTTTCCTGATTTTTGGGTTCAATTTTTTCTATTTTTTCTTTCGTTCTATTTTCTTTTCTTTCATTCCCTCTTGCATTCAACTTTCATTTTTCATTCATTCTATCTTTCTTTTATTCAACTTTCGTTTTTCTTTATTTGGTTAAACTTTCATTTTCTTCTTTCTTTTGTTGAATTTTCATTTTACTATCTTTCGTTCAAATTTTTCATTCTTTCTTTCTTTCGTTCAACATTCAGTTTCCTTTTTTCTGTCAGCCTTCATTTTTTTCATTTTTTGACTTCTCTTTTTTTATTTCATTCAAGTTTCGCTTTATTTCCTTCAAACTGAACTTTTCTTTCTTTCTTTCTTTCTTTCTTTCTTTCAGCTACCACTTTTCTTTTTTCTTTCATTCAATTTTCACTTTACTTTATTTACCTCGTTCAAATTTCAATTTTTCTTTTTTTTCTTTCTTTCTTTTTCTTTCTTTTTTATTCATTATTCCTATCTTTTTTTCCTTTCTTTCATTCAATTTTCATTCTTTATTTCGTTCAAATTTCACTTTTCCTTTCTTTCTTTCTTTCTTTCTTTCACTTTACTGACACGATATGAATAAGTGCAATCAACCAACAGTATGTATTTCAAACCTTAATATTGTCTACTCGCCTGATTTATTTCTTAACGCAACTGATGCAGAAGTATAGCAATTCAGACAGGCTGGAGACATTTCCTTATTATTATTATTATTATTATTATTATTATTATTATTATTATTATTTATGAACATTTTTGAGGAGAGAAACTTGGCGAACCTCAGTAATTGTGTTTGAGATTCCTAAGAGCATATCGAGTACCAGGTTGGTGGGCTTCGTTTCCATAATATCTTTGAATAGAAGGGAAAAGACTTTCACAAAATATCCAAGATTAATTTCAGTTTTGTTCATTTAATTGTATCATTTGATTTATATATTTTTGTATGCCATACTGGTTTTCTTACAATGGTAAAAATTACTTTATTTTTGTTTATAATGCTACGAATCAGTGACGAAGGCTCCAGATATGCAAAGCATACACTCTACGCTTTTGTACATTTTTCAGGAAAAATAATTATTGTGTAATAGCTAATTATTAATAATCTTTACTAATTTTTTTGCACTTTGAAAAATTAAAAAAAGGCTCATTTCTTCATTTCTTAGGATACGCTGACTTGAAGTGGAGCAACTACATTGAATCAATAGCTGCATCTACTGCAAGGAAAGTTGGTTCTTTGTGTCGTGCCAGAAAGTTTTTTCTCGTCAGAGCCCATCTTACACATCTACAATTCTACCATTTGTCCGTCCATTGAATACTGTTGCCATATCTGGTCTGGTGCCCCTGCTGTTCATCTCGAGATTCTCGACAAAATCTAAAGGAGGATCTGCAATGCAATCGATCCTTACCAGCCATCTCGAATTTAGTCACTTTCTCAACGACGTGGCGTGGCTTCCCTTTGTCTTTTCATGGCAACGTTAAACTAAACCGCGTGTACGACAAACTAAAGGTATATCCTGCTTTGGTCAATCGAGGTCGGGCTTTGTTTCAGTAAGACAATGCGAGGCCACACACATCCAGATTGACTAAAGAGAAGTTCAAGCAGATGGACGGTGTTAAGATACTTCCACGTCCACCATTAAGTCCCGATGCTGCACCGAGCGATTATGGTGTATTCCTCTCAATGGCCTACTTCCTTCATAACCAGCCATTCAACACATTTGATGAAGTGAAGGAAGATTGTTTACAGTTTTTTGATTCAAAGCCAACGGACGGGTATCTGGGATAGATTCGGATGTTGGCTGATCGCTGACAGAATATCGTCTAGCCTTGAAGAATAAATGTTGGTGTTGCTCCATAAAATTTTGTTGTTTTCTTTCCGCTTCCGAAGTAAGTTAGGGCTTTCTGACCAAACTAATATTTCAATCAGTGTAAATCTTGATCTGCAGAGGTGTTTATTGCTTATTTATTTTGATACACAAATGCATCATACGATGCTATGTAGAACCGGGGTTCCAAAAGTGGAGCGCACGCCCCAAATGTGGAGAAATTTGATTTTTATGTGGGTAATTCGAGAATGAGTGAATTATTTTCTAGTAAATTCTGTGAGTATGATTGTGTGGGCGAATTAATAGATACTGTACATATACAATATGCACACATGCAAATATTTGTGAGCATGTATGTATATGTGTAATTAAATATGCACTATACATATTATATATATATATATATATATATATATATTTTTTAACAATTTCTTAGTAATTTCGTCCTTAGTACTTCAACTGTCCTTTTGTTCATTTATTTTATTTTCTCTTTCATGGCTGACGTTCTTTGGAAGCTTGTTTCGACCAAGTTAATAGCCTTTTAGGATTACTCCACCTGAATAGGAGTTCATTTTTTGAATAATGAAAATACATGATTTATAATCACCGGACGAGGGCATCAAGATTTGAGAGATGCTTAGTTGGTGCAGAAACAATAAAAAAAGCCGAACGCAGAGAAACGACATTGTTTATAATTTAATACATTTAATATTATTTATCAAAATAATGTAGAAATAGTCTTATATATGTTATTCTACTATCTTTTTAATCGAATTCATCCTATGCAAGGCAATAAAGCCACTAAGGCACAAGGGATTACTGGGCATGAAAGAAAACAGAAACATTATTAAGGAGTGAGAACAGTAGAAGAATAATCAGTAAAACATTGCACTTTAATTTTTGAAGATTAAAGTTGGCTGGAAAGAATGGGTCTGGAAGAGTGTTCCACTAGCAAGAAGTCCAAAAAAGAAACAGTTAACATAGAACTTATATTCAGATTTCGCCAGTTGTAAATATAAATTGATGAGACCTAGGCGCCAGTCTAGTAATGCGCTTAAATTCATAAAATCTAGGTACCATAATTAATAGCTCATCTGAACAATTGACATGAAAATATTTATAGAAAAGGTACAAGGAAGCAATTTTATGGCGGTGGGAAAGTGACTGAAGCCGAGACTCAAGGCTAGGACCAATAATATTGCTGAGTCTTCTTTGGATTTTATCAATAATCATTAATCATATAACAGGAGCAATATTCTAAGCATGGACGATTGGTAGACTGGTAGATATATAAGATATATTCCGGAGAGAAAAGGTGTCTAGCACGACAAAGTGAACCAATAATTATGAAAGTAGCCAATTATTCAATATCGCAGTGATAAGATAAAATAAATTTTAACAAGTAAATCTTAAATTCAACACAGACACCAAAATTTGAAATATTTAAATGAAAAAAATTCCATCTTGAAAAAATTCAAAGAAATGTCTGTAATATAATCCATCTGACCTGGCATCTCAATTTCAGTTACTTTCTCACCGACGTGACGTGGTTTACCTCTGTCTTTTCTACAAATATTTCCATGGCATCTGTTCTGACGAGCTTTTTTCTTAAGTGTATGAGTGTATGAATTTAAGCGTGCCTCTAGATTGTCAACTTGGTCTCACCGTTTTACTGTTGATCTAGCTAGATGCAACCGTCAGTTCTATTCTAATAGTTTCTTTTCTCGCACTTCTCACCTGTGGAACTCTCTTCTGATTTCTTGCTTCTCTTCAAAAATTTAATTGCAATGCCAGTCGCCATCTTCTGTATTCCTGAACCCTATTTCTTTATTGTCCTTTCCTCAATTTCCATTCCTAAAGTCTTCCCATTCTCTTTCACTCTCTGTAACCACCTGCGTGTTAGTGGCATTATTGCCTTGCTTGAGATGAAATAAATAAAAAACGTTACGTATTATTTACTAAATAAGCGACTTGTATCAAGTTTAGTGAATGGTATTTATTTAGTGTTACTTCTAGGTGCCCAAACGAAGCGGGGGGTGGGCGTTATATAAGGTAGTTTCGGCACCCCGCACGAGTTTATGAAGACTAATTCTTTATTAATTTTGCATGTTTCTCCAGAGCTCAAACAGAAATCAATTATTTTTTTTATTGTTGACACAAGTTTTTGTTTCTAAGACTGCATCGTTTTAAAATGCATTTCATTGTTCGTTTATAATCTTTCTACTCTGTGCCGTTCTTTGATACAGCAATCGCGACGGACATAATTAAAGTTAAGGTAAAAAAGGGGAAAACATCTGTGGCGAATTTAATACGATAGGTAAAAAGGAAAGAGGAGAAAACACGTGCGGTAACCGGTTATGGCTTCTCAATTGTGAGAACTCGACCAAGGAATGTAAAAGAATTAGGGAAAACAGAAAGAAACAAATAAGAGAGAAACAACAAAAATATACAGAATAAGCTAGCCGGTTATCGCTCCTCATTTGTCAGGATTCGATCAAGGAAAAAATTGGAAATAAGAAAAGGGAAAGAAAAAAAAATATACAGAATGAGATAAGCGGTTAATCTTCTTCAAATGCCAGGACTCGATCGAGGAAAATAAAAGGATTAAGAAGACGAAATAGAAAGAAAAGGAGAAAAACAAGGAGAAAATACAGAATGAACAAACCGGTTATCGCTCCTCATTTGTTAAAACTCGATCGAGAAAAGTAAAAGAATTGGGAATAAGAAATAGAAAGAGAAAAGAGATAAAACAACAAAGTACAGCATGAACTAACCGGTTATCGCTCCTCATTTGTTAAAACTCGATCGAGAAAAGTAAAAGATTTAGGAGAAAGAAAGAGAAAGGAGTGAAAAAGAAAAACAATATACAGAATGCGCCGTTTATTGCTAAAAACTCGATAGCGAAAAATATTTTTGCACAAAAAACAAAAACAAAACAAAACAACAAAAAGAGGGAATAAAAAACATCATATGAATAATATACTGAAAACGGGTATATTTTAAAGGCAAATCACGTTGAGTCCTAACAACCATTCCTTCTGTTTAGATAAGGAAGGGTGCCTTGACAATAAAAATAGTTTCTAGGACCTTTAGATAATAATGTGAATGTGACCTGTAAAGAATTGAGAACATGTACTTTTGTTAAGTCGTTGCACACTCTCGAATTTGTATGAGGTGCTCTGCGATTGCAGACTCGGGTGTAACAGCGAACGTATGCAAATTATATAGTTGACCTTTTCCAAGTGACGCCAGAACATGTTGAGTAATTCTCTTCTCAATAAGATGGGTGCTCCTACGTATACAGTCAGCTTCACATTGACATTTAAATAAATAGTAGGACTTGTTTTAAAGATAGGTAGGCCATGCTTATGGACAGAGTTCAACACAGGTCAAGAGGTGAATAATTTCGCGGATTAGACGAAAAATAACATTGGTCAACGCTATGTCTAAAAAAAAACAATCTTAACACTTTCATGGTTCACTGTTCGTTGTTTGATTTTTATTTTTTGCGGTGTTCTTGAAGAGGAATTTTTAAAAACTAACCTTTGTTGTGATGACGCATACGTCTTTGGAATCGGCTGCCACCATTTGATCTCTTTTCTGTCGTCTGGTGAGAGTCAGAGTGTCTTGTGGCTTCTACTGTCATCCTCGATAGGTCTAAAGGAGTAGCAAATACCATATTTATTCGTTATCGGGATCAACAAAATTATTTATACATATATGTAAGGGTCACAAATATCTATTCACGAAACAATAAAATATATCGAAAATATATCTTTCTTGTGGCCCATTTTTTGGCGTAAAAAAGATTTCAGGCTCTAATTAACACAAATAGGAATTTTATGTAACAGGAAGTACAATTTATTTACAAAAGCAAAATGTAATAGAAAATATAAATCCTGACTAATGACTCCACTGGTCCTGGTGTCTGCCTATCAGCTTACCAAGTTGAACTTCCAAGCGTACTGGGTAAGACGATAAACTAAATCCGTCAGCAAGACCTCTGATTAGGAGGTTTTGAGGAGTGTGAAATCATCTCTTAATTGCTGGTGTTCCCAGGTCCATACTGACTTGGGGTGGTAGCACCTTTTAGGGTCCCAGCTATGGGAAAATAGTTGACGCCAAACCTGGGGTAGAAACACTATGAAAGTGTTAAAATAGGTTTTAATACCAGCAATACATTTTTGTAAAAGGTTATGAATTTTTGAAGAAAAAAATTATTACCAGCAGTACATTCTAAAAAAAAAAATATTACCAGCAATAAAAAATCTAGTCGGCATTAAATAACCCATAGAGGTTGATATCCCGTAAAACAAACGAAACCAAACCAAACCTGTACTACCAAAACGAAAAAAAAAAAAAAAAAAAAAAAAACCGTTTGTGTTCTCATAATTTTGCGATAATGAAAAAAAAAAATTCAAACCCTATTTGCATTGTCCGGATTGTTGTCCTCATCTTTATTGTTATGTTCATGACGTTTCGGTCGTTATACGCTCCGACCTTCTTCAGTGTATATATGTTGGAATTTTGAACCGAACTTTTTATTTAGTGCACAGGGGTAGATTGTTCTAATTCCACATATCATGCCTCTCCCCTTTTTGTGATATCTCAGTTTGAGTTAATTGCCTTTAGTAAATCAACACTCCAAGTTTTTGTTTACTCAGCTGTGGTCAGGTAGTGTAGAACTGTTTCGGTCAAGTCACTTTTTGGATTATTTCAGCCAACGCTTTTAATCAGTGGGTCATGTGGCCGAACGATGTAAATAGTGTAAATAGTTACAATACTTCATCTCAGAAATATAGACTGATATTAAAGGAATTGAATTTTAAAGAAAATTTTTTTTTATTAAATTGATGGATTCAGCTTGTACTGGGCGATATCATCGGAATTCAGGTCTTATCTGGTTTCGAAATACATTCAGTAAGAGGGATACATGGATGTGCAGGTGGTGTAATTGCTAAGGGCTCGGAAAGAGATATCGGCGAGCCGAGTTCGAATTCCGGTCGGGATCGTTATATTCGCTTTCGAACAAATACCATTGGGAAAGGTATGAGTCCATCTATTCTCCTCGCAACTAATGAGTTAAATAGCAGGGTCGATTGAAATCTTCAGCCGTGTTTGGCAACCAGTATAGGAGAATAACAACTCTGAATTAAAAACAGTACGTGTCCTACGAGGGACACGTACTTAAACTTATTAGCTCATCATAGTTGCAGTCGAAACCACAGGTTGACTATGAAGGTTGAAATAGAAACAGGACTGAAACCATCATCAGCACAGATGGATGATCGTTTACGATCAGTAGCGGAGGTATGCTCGGAAACGATTGGTAGCAACGGGGAGTGTGCTTGGAAACGGTCAGTAGCAGGGGTTATGCTTGGAAAAGATCAGTAATGTGCGGGTATATTCGGAAACGATCGGCAGAAGCGGGGAATCCGCGCAAACGATTAGCAGTAGAGGGACAATTGCAAGAAAACAAAATGTATGGTTGTCAGTAAAAAGGAAAAACCCTAAGCACAAGTTACAAATTGGAGATATCAAAATGAAGCAAGTACAAAAATTTAAATATCTGAGATGTGAACGAAATCCGAAGATACACTGGAATAGCGAAAGATGCCTTCCAAAAGTTAAGCAAAGAAGTAGAAAACATAGAATAGAGTAGTGAACTGTTTTCTAATATCAGTCCTTTTATATGGCAGTAAATGCTGAGCAATCTCTTCACAGATGAAGAAGAGACTTGTAACAACAGAAATTTGAATCTATGGAAGGATGCTGAGAATACCATGGATTGAACATATGAGCAACGACAAACTTTTAAAGAAAATGGAAAGAAAAACGACATTTATACTTAACCTCAGTTAAAATTTTTCGGGCACATAATGAGGAAAGAAGGCTTTGAAAATTTTATACTCAAAGGACATTGAAGGCAAGTGAGACAGAAGCAAGCAGAGCATAACCAACTTAAGGAACTTGTGTAAATGGGTCGCAGAAGAGTTTTTAGGAGAGATAGCAAAAGGACAAAATTTACTAAGACTTTCAAAGGACAGGAAATTGTGGAGAGCCATGATCGCCCACGTTATGAAGGGACACGGCACATAGAAGAAGAAAACTTTGTTTAGACAAATCTACTTGCCTTTGAATGCGTCAAACTCCAGTTAATTTTTATTATGCGTTGCTAATCTTTGTTATTATTATTATTATTATTATTCTGATTGTTCATCCCTTATTTAGCCCTGCTAATACCTCATAAATTTTGATCGCGTGGAAAAACGAAAACGACATATCAGAGACGCTACTTCGTATCAGTGAGAGAAATGAAGTGTTTTATGTCTCCTGCCAATACCTCATAAATAATAGGTTATTCCGTTTTGATCGCATGGAGAGACGAAGTCATATCAGAAATGCTAATCGGTTTCAGTGAGAAAATGAATGAAAGAAACAAGAAAGAAAGAAAGAAGTGTTTATCAAATTTCTGGTAAAGGTTGCAGAAATGTTGCAGCAACGTCTTTTTGTTAGGTTTGGACATTTTTTCTCTCATATTACCATTTTCATTACATTTTCTACATGCAATTTCAATATACACCCCTGTGGAAATTAATTGAAACAAAACGAATAATTCCGTTAATATTTACTTTTTTTCTAATGAAAAATGATTCAGTGCTCATGTTAGTACTTCGTATGTCCATTCCACGAATTCGTCCCTTGCAGACTGATCACAGATTATCAACTGGATTTAAATCAGGAGTTTCCGAGCCAGTCTATAGTACTTTGATTTGCTTACCGGTAAGGCTTGCCAGTGTGTTCGTGAAGCGTTACAATTTTCGTACGCTTCCTTGGAATAACATCAATCGTAGATAATGGTTGTAGGACAACTAATCGACAGTCAAGACAATAGTGTCTTAGCGTGATAAAAAACTGATGTAATCACGGATGACGCAATATTTTTCGAGGCCAAATAAATTTCATCACACACTCCGAAAATAGATTCATATTACTGCACACCACTGCAAATGACCTAATCTGAGGAAAAAATAGAAATCGATTACACCGTGTCACTCCAGTGGGTCTAAATCTGCCTGTATGGCGAAAACAGGCAACTAAAACGGTTGTTTCAATTAATTTGCACAAGTGCGTATTTATATTGTTTTAACTATGCTTTTGAAAACCTTTCAGGGTCTGATATTTTTCAACTTTTTAGATTTTTCTACTTGTTTTTGCATCCCAGTAGTTTCTTTGTTGATCAACTCATGTCTTAGTAAGTCTGATCAGTTCGATACGGTCAAATTGGCAGCTGATCTAAAATAATGACCTACAATCTCTTGTTAAGGGATGACTTGTTAATTTTGACGCCCCAAGAACGAAACTGCAGTCTATTAATCGTCAGAGAGGACGCTTTCTTCTTTCCGTAAGTATAGCTGATGCTAACCTCCAGGAGAGAGACTCATGTCACTTTCTTGGGCAAACTTTTCCTCTGAGATGAAGTGGGAAGATTATATTGAATCAATTTCTAGGTATGCTGCTAGGAGAGTTGTTTCCCTGTATCGTGTGCCAGACAATTCTACTCACCAGAATCTATCTGACATATTTATAAGTCTACTATTCATCCATGCATGGAATATTGCTACCACATATGGTCTGGTGTTCCTGCTATATATTTAGAGATCCTTGATAAAATCCAAAGAATAATCCGTAATGTCATAGGTCCTGACCTAACATCTCAGCTTCATCACTATCCCATCGCCGTAATGTAGCTTCCCTGTATTTTTTCTAAGGGTAATTGTTCCGATGAACTTTCCACTATGGCACCTAAACTTTATGAATTTAAGCGCAGTACTAGATTAGCGGCTAACAGTTTTTTCTCTCGCACTTCTCGCTTATGGAACGCTTCTTGCTTCCCAGTCAAGTTCGATGTTCAAAAATTTAAATGCAATGTCAATCGTTATCTTCTGTTTTTCCCAATTCCTGTTCTTTTATTATGTTCATAAGCGAGAAGTTTTCTCTATGTATTTAGTATACGGTTAGGGCATTTGGTTAGTTCCTTATATCATTTCTGGTGTATTAAGTTGAATCATCGTAGAGGGCTCTTTTATTGTGACCTTTTACCAGACAAAACGTACTTGAATATCTACAATGACTTTATTTCTGTCTTCAATCTTTTCCTCTTCCTTTGCCTTTTTTTTAGCATCATAATTCGTCATTTTTAATCTGTTTTCCCCATTTTAAATTCATGGCTGTCTTGTCGCTTCTTTTCACTCGATTTCTGTTGTTTGCACTTCTCGCTTATGGAACGCTTCTTGCTTCCCAGTCAAGTTCGATTTTCAAAAATGTCAATGCAATGTCAATCGTTATCTTCTGTTTTCCTAATTCCTGTTCTTTTATTTATGTTCTTGCGCCTTAATAATTTTTTCTTTATCTTATATTCCCTCAAACTCAGTTATCTACCACGTTGTCTTGGAGGCTTTATTGCCTTACTTGGGGTAAAATGATTAAAACAAATTACTTGTTAGGTACCCCGTCATTTCGCTGACGAATTAACTTTGAAATCTAAATGGTAGTATTTTAAACTGATACACATTTATTAGAATATATATTTCGTTTAAATACAGAAAAGTTATAAAAAGAAATTCACATTCCAGCTTATACTCTTTTCCTGTTAACCAGGGGTTGTTGCCAGACAGTAAAGGAAAACAACAATCGCGACACAGGTATCTATTTACATTTCATTCAAATTGTGCGTATATACGTTTGCAAATACACATGTATTCTTTAATGCAATGACAGACTTGTAGATATTTCTACAAAATTAAAAAATTAAAATAATTTCATATATTACTGAATAATTTTTTAAAAGTTCAATAAAATCTAAAAATTATTTTTAGTGTTTAAAATTTATGTATTTTTTTCTTTCTTTTTTTTCTTATCTTCATATTTATGTTTTATTACTAGCGTAGGGTAGGGGTTGTCCAAATATGTAATTTTACTAAAACACAATTCAGACATTTGCCTATAGATTTATAGGATTAGATAGGTTCGCCTACCGTCCGGTTTACACTCCTCCTGGTTCTTTTCTTATTTCCGGTTTAAGATTAGGTTTCCGGTTACTTCTAAAGACTTCTCATTTTCTTTCACTCCCAATAGCCCCTCGCGTCTTAGTTGCATTATCGCCTTGCTTGTCATACGGGCCGGACACAGAATTAGCTCTATTTTTATATTATATGTTGACAATATACGCTTTTTTTTTTTTTTTTTTTTTTTTTGGTTTGTGTTTGCTAGGCTTCTAGCAAAATTCCCCATTTGTGGTCAGCGCACAAATATTAAGCCCAAATCGTAAAGGATAATGAATCAAGCATAAAAGTTACTTCTGTTCCCCAATTGCAAATCGACGTTTGTCCGACTTATGACAATATCGACAAGAGTTGAATTGAAAAGTGCTGAATCAGAAGATAAAATAATACGGAGCGAATTATGCGACATTCCTCTATTTTGTTCTCTCATATTGTCATTGCAGTTTACTTTCGTTTCATAACACAGTTGTTATTGAGGCCTTTGTCAATAGACAGCCTGTTGATTTTCTTTAAACGAACGCTGACCTAAAGGAACTTTACTCAACGCAGGTCTATCGCTTCTTTTTAGTATCTTCATAATAAATATCCAAATATTTCTACAACATATTATGATACACATAAAAATCCAGTTCATTTTTTTCTTTATATATATATATATATATATATATATATATATATATATATATATATATATATATATATATATATGATTATTTATTTAAATTATGATTCTAACACGCTACATATGTAGCGTGTTAGAATCATATTTTTAGATAAATAATCATATTCATGCTCTACTTTTGTATCGAGCACTATTTTTTAAAATAATAACAAAATACTAAAGAACTTTGATTATTTACCTAACGAGTTCTTTCCTATTTTCTATATATTTTCACACACACACACACACACACACACACACACACACACACACACATATATATATATATATATATAAATGTAAAAGAACGAAAAGAATATATATTCAAACGTTCATAACATTAATTGAAAAAAAGGGCTCGATACAAGTGTAGAGCAATAAATATTTATTATAAACTGTTACATTAAGTTATATGCAAGTTAAGTTTGCATATTCTAACGTAACAGTTTATTATATATATATATATATATATATATATATATATATATATATATTCACTTGACGCCCCACTGAGTCAGGATGTGACTCAAGGTCGGAGTGTTTCCACTCGGGCCACTGGTCTAACCTGGTCTTAGCTGGACATAGCGTGTCCAAGCTGGTCATAGCTGGTCTATAGCTGGACTTGGCTTGTCATAGATGGTCCAGGCCCGAGCAGGTCCAACCTAGACATCGCCATGATACCACCAGCACAAGGCCGGAGCAGAAGTGCCATATATATATATATATATATATATATATATATATATATTTACCAGTTTCATTAAAAACGACTGACACGGTACTGAGGTTAATTTGTTATTTTATTTTTCTTGTGTTATAATTTTCTTCATTTCTGGACATAATTTATGTAGAATTGTCCGACAGACATTTTTGGCAGTTTCTACATAATTTATGTCCAGAAATGAAGAAAAGAAAATGGAGAATATAAGAAAAATTAAATAAAAATCTTAACCTCAGTATCTTGTCAGTCGTTTTTAATGAAACACACACACACACACATACACACACACACACACATATATATATATATGTGTGTGTGTGTGTGCGTGCGCGCACGCGTGTGCCTGTAATGCTTATATCTTGTATATAATGTGTTAAAATTCCCTTTCTCCAATGCAGGTTTCGATCCCGGGTTGAAGCAACAAAACAGTCTATTTGTGGATGAATATATAGTCCTACTCTTAAATATCTTAATAAAAATCTATTTAAAATTATTCCTATCTCTCCCTTCCCTCTCAAATTTCGACCGTGTCTGTCATGCACCTCCTCCCTCTGTCTCAATTTACATCAACTTAAAACTACCCCTCAAAAGTGTGTAAAAACTATATGTAAATTTAAAAGATTTTTGCACCCATGGAAGTGCGGTCTGATAAACCACGTAAAAATCATATACCTGGGGAAATAAATTATAACTAATGGACCATTATCTGTTTTCTATTTAAATTGAATTAATATATATATATATATATATATATATATATATATATATATATATATATGAAGAAAAATTTTAGGGGAAAGATATCTGACAAAAAGTTTTCCTGCGACGCGTTTCGTTCTTTAGGACTTCATCGGATTAATTTTAGGTTTACGTTGATACGACTACAAATTTTAAATTTAAACTAATTTTTTTTTATATGTGTTTTTAGTATATAATCTACCCAATTTCATTTAGATTCTTTTTCTTTTTGTTTATATGTACATCACTTTTGTTATTAAATATCCCACATTGTGTTAATAGATGATCTGACAAGGAAGACACTGGACTAAAAAGCCTCATCTGCGCTGCCCATATTTGGGGGTGGACCAAATGATGACATTGCTCGAAATCATTTTTGATGTTGCTAACATAACGTTTCTGTTCTTGTGCACTACGGTCTTCGTCAGGTATTGGTCGATTCGGGTAATATTTTTTGTTTCGCTGGCTATGTAAAGTGAAATATAATTGTATTCTTATTTAGTACTGTTCAGTTATTGCTCACCCATTTTCCAAATCTGTTCTACCCGGCCCAGGAATTGAATTCGCAATCGCTATATCAACAAATTATATTATTATGTATTTTCCTTAGAGTAAGACAATATTTTCTTTAATTTTTACCGCGGACACACTAAATCAATTTTGTGTGTTATTATTATTATTTTTATTTCCTTTGATTTCTGGCGTTTACACATTTCTTTCCGGGTCCCGCCCAGGGACCTAAGGTTAGATATGGCATCATGACACTTTCCACTGACAAAAAAAAAAAAAAAAAGGAAAAGAAAATTACATAGACATAGCCCTTCGTAAAGTGTGGGCTGTACTTGTGAGAACAATTTTTTGTATCTCCTTGAGGCATGGACTTCCAGGAATCCCTTCAATTAGTCTACTGGAATCATTTCCAACCAGTTCTAGGGCTCCAACTACAACAGGGTTTGTTGATGTTCCCATATGCCACATTTTTGAGATTTAATACGTTCCCATGCCGGGAATCGAACCCGGGCCGCCTGGGATCGAACCCGGGCCGCCTGGGATCGAACCCGGGCCGCCTGGGATCGAACCCGGGCCTTATTATTATTATTATTATTTATTTGATTTCTGTTGTATATTCGTTTCTTTCCGTGTCCCAACCAGAGACTTAATGTCCTTATGACATTCTCCACTGAGCATTATTTGAAAAAAAAAAAAAAGATCATAAATATTTTATATAAATAAAGCCCGTCGTAATGTGAGAGTTGTACTTGTGGGTACAATTCTTTGTAATTCTTTAAGGCATCAGCTACCAGGAATTCCTTCAATAAGACTCTCGGAAGCTTTCCCAATCAAAGCGAAAGCTCCAATTGCACCGATGTCTGGCGATTAGCTTTAATTGTTCTGTCTGTGTGTAATGTAAAGTCCCATAAAATTTTTACAGGTTCTATCTCCGTAACCGGGTCTGGGTGGTGTTCGTACCAATTTCTCGCAGTTTCCTTTCCATAAAATTTGCATATTTTGTAATGCTGATATTGGCCCACACTGTCATGCCGGGTTTTATTTTCAGTGGGCATAAATACCGTGGAATCTGATACAAGATGGTTAATTCTTTCTGGATAGAAATCACAGAATCTGCATTTTGAGCTAATAGCATTTTTCAGTATGTGTGCTTGATAATTTCTAGTTAGTAAGCATTGGAACTGTGAAGTAAGAATAAAACCCTAGGTTTCAGCTTTTAACCTTACACTACGTAACCACTAATGGGTACGGAGTTTGTCTACATCATCTTCTTTGGTACGAGCAGAATATTGACCATGTAGAGGTTTATCTTGCCATCATTTCTGCATTTGGTACATTGCTTTTGTTTTCTTTTTCAGGTTCTTTGCCACTGCTGTAGGTGTATTATGATTTATTTTCACTTCTTCACTCACTTGAAATTCCCTTTTGAATTTGTTGGCTTCCTTTATTACTAAATAAAGTTTCTTACTTCTTTCATGTTCTTTGATACAGATCCTCAGCCAGTCTTCTGCAGTTTCCAAGTATCTTTGAAGACCGACTGTTGTGGTTTTGTAAGACAATTTTAGTTGAATTAATCTTTCAGATATGAGCACATACAGACGATCAACATCAACCAGAGGATGACTCATGCGGTGCCAAGTGAGAAGCTTTCTTGTTTTCACATCCATTGCTTATTGTCTGCTATGGTCGATCAAAACGGAATAGTCCATTATTTATGAGGTATTAGCAGGAGACTTTTAACACTTTCTTTCTTTCTTTCTTTCTTTCTTTCTTTCTTTCTTTCTTTTCTTTTCTTTTCTTTCTTTCTTTCTTCTCTTTCATTCTTTTCTTTCTTTTCTTTCTTTCATTATTTCTTTCTTTTCTTTGTTTGTTTAGTTCTTTCTTTCTTTCTTTCTTTCTTTCTTTCTTTCTTTCTTTCTTTCTACGGTTACCTTTTCTTTGATTTTAGTCATTTTGCTTTTCTTACAGATTTTTCTTCTTTTTTGTTTTTTTCCATCTGTTTATTTTCATTTTTACGTTTTTTTCTACTTTCTTTCTTTGTTTCTTTCTATGTTTGTTACTTTCTTTCTTTTAGCGTCTCTGATATGTCTTTTGTTTTTTCACGCGATCAAAATATATATGGAATAGTCCATTATTTGTTTAGTATTGCCAGGGTGTAAAGGTAGAGAACTAAGGAAAGGAGGGACAATCACAATTATTATTATTATTATTATTATTATTATTATTATTTGCTGGATTACTACCCGAAATATGTGGTAAAACATGGTTGTAAATATATAGATTATGTTACACAAATTCTGATGTTAATCGATACTTAAAAGTTACGTTGGTTTTATTCGTCTTACATTGATAATATGATTCTGAGTAGATTCAACATTTTTAATGCATTTTTTAATCTCTTTTAAACACGGTATGCCAGTGATCTTTTTAATGTTCTTTATACTTTTTCTTGATCGTAGCGAAGACCCCAATTATTATAGTTTTAACAGCAGTTTTAAGGGGCAGCATTTGTCAATTTCAAGATTCTTGTTTTTACCTTTTTATTCTTTCGCGCGACTTTTCGTTTTCAACTGGAGTTTTTGCATGATAGGTTTTCTCCATCGTGTTGTAAAACCTCAGACAAATAATACCTTTTGCCGAATATTTGCAATGCCAAGAAAACGCAATATTCGTAGTACTACTAGTTAACAAGTAACTAGTATTTCATGCATTAACATGTACACACATGTTATTTTAACTCATATATTTTCTTAGGAAAATGCTGATATATTCTCTGTTTAACCTCTGGAGAGTTATTTAATTTAGAGCAATTTCTTTGAATTATTTTCAACAGAGAATTGGCACAGGATACAAGCAATGAATTTTATTATGACTGTTATTATTATTGTTGTTGTTGTTGTTCTTCTTCTCGTTTTTCATCTTCTTTTTTCTTTTTCGTCTTCTTCCTCTTTTTCGTCGTAGTCGTCGTCATTCCCTCTTTTCCTTCTTCTGTTTCTTCTACTTCTTTTCCTCCTCTTCTTTTTTCTTCTTCTACTTCTACTCCTCCCTCTCTTCTTCTCCTACTCCCCTTTCTCTTCTTCATCCCCACCTCCTCCTCTTTTTCATCCCCCTCTCCTCCTCTTTCTTTACTTCTTCTCCTCCTCTCTTGTTGTTGTTCTCTTTTTCTTCACCCCTCCTCCTCCTCCCCCTCCCCATCTTCATCCTCCTCATACTTCTCTCTTTTTTTCTTCTTTTTCATCTTCTTCTTTGTCGTCGTCTCTTCTTCTTCTTCTTCTTCTTCTATTCCTCCTCTTCTTTTTTCTTTTTCCACTTCTCCTCCTCCTTCTTCTCCCCTTTCTCTTCTTTTCCGCCTTATCCGCCCCCTCTTCTCTATCCTCTTTCTCCTCCTCCTCTTCCTTTACATCTTCTTCTCCTACCTCTCTTGTTCTTCTTCTTCTCCTCTTTCTCTTTTTTTCCCCTTCCCCGTCTCTTGTTCATCCTCCTTCTCCTCCTCCTCTTCCTTTACTTCTTCTCCTCCTCCTCCTCTTCTTCGCCCACCCGCACTCTTCCTCATCTTCATCCTCCTCCTCTTTCTTCTTCTTCTTCTTCTTCCAAACTCCTCCTGGGAGTAAACCGTTTGCACACAGATAGAAAAGGAATTATGTGTACAAAAACAGAAAAGGGCGTATGACAAGGATGCATCTTCTCACCGTATTTAATTCAAACTTTACAGCGAGGTTATCCTAAGAGAACTAGAAGTCCAGACAGGATTTATTATTGCCGGACACAATCTTAACAACATAAGACATGCAGATAATATTGTGTTGATAACTGACGCAGAAATAAAACTGCAGGAATTCCTAGGAAAATGAATAAAAGAAAGTAGGAAGAAAGAGCTAACCATCACTTGTAAGAAGACAGAACGCGTGGTTTTCAGATACAACTAGAAATTGGTGACGTCACAATCAAGCAATTACAAAAGTGTTTTAACAGACAACGAAAAATGTGACACTGAAATACGAAAAAAAACTCTCCCAAAAGCTAAGCAAAGTTTTAAGAAACAGGAAAAAATTTGTTAAGAACAAAGGAAAGGACACTTAACAGCTATGTAATATCCATATATGTCCAATATGAATGCTGGATAATTTTCTAACAGATGAAGAGGAAACCTGAGTTAACAAAGAGGTACTTCTACAGAAGGAGGCTAAGAATACTATGGAACAACGAGGATGTTTTAAGGAAATTAGAAAAGAAATAGACATTTATGCTTAAAACCAGAAAGAGAAAGTTGATATGTTTTGCACACATACTGAGGAAAGTAGGCTCGGAGAATTTGACACTTACAGGATATACTGAAGGCAAGAAGCATATAGGGAAACATCCAGTAACCTGCCTATCAAGATTCTATAAATGGATATCAGATCGGAGAGTTAAAATGACAGAAAAAATCAAACTTTGCTAAGCGCTACAAAGGAGAGGAAATTATGGAGAGCCGTAATCACCCACGTCCTGAAGGGACACGGCACATAAGAGAAGAATTATTAAGTTACTTTTTTGTTGGATTTATTAATCCTTGTGTAGAAATGGCTCTGAAGTTTTCTTTGTTGCCGTTGTGTTTGACATTTAGCGAAACAGTTTATGTGATCACCTAGATAGGACTGTTTGAGTTTTTTTCGTTTTGACGTTACTTTCGTCTTCTGCTGTTAGGGGTGCTTTATTCAATATGTTTTTCAATATGTTTTGCCTATGTTTACATTGAGTAAATTCTTGTGTTCTTGGGGCTTTAGTTTGTAAAGGGTGTTCCAATAACTTGGACCGATTTTACATGCGAATTATAATTAAGCGTCTAATGATTTTTTCCTTTTCTTCCAGATTAAACAACTTAAGTTAATATGTAAGATAGATACCGGCGGGAAAAAATGTCTAGCACGAAATAGTTAACCAATTTTCTTAACTGCAGGCTTAGATTTACTATACTTTTTTCACTTTATATAAGCGGAAAATTTTAGTCGGAGAAGGTGCAATGGGTCACTCTCTTGGAGGTTAGCATCAGCCATGCTGATGAAAAGTAAAAAGGGAAGAAAGCAGTGAATTTTTTATTTAGGTTTAATTTGTTTTTTTAACCCACTGTTTTAATATGCTCATTTAATCCACTCATTCAATGAATTTCTTTTAATCACCATTTTAATCTACTCTTTTAATCCTCTATTTTAATCCTCACTTTTAATCCTCTCTTTTAATCGTTCTCTTTTAATATTCTATTTTAATCCTCTCTTTTAATCATCTAGTTTAATCTTCTATTTTAATCCTCTCTTTTAATCTTCTCACTTAATCCACTCCTTTAATCTTCTCTTTTAATCCTCTCTTTTAATCTACTCTTTTAATCTTCTATTTTTATCCTCTCTTTTAATCTTCTCTTTTAATCCACTCTTTTAATCCTCTATTTTAATCCTCTACTCTTTTAATCTTCTATTTTAATTCACTCTTTTAGTCCTCTTTTTAAACCACTCTTTTAAGCTTCTCTTTTAATCACCCTTTTAATCCTCTCTTTTAATCTTCGCTTTTAATTCACATTTTTAATTTTCTCTTTTAATTCCCTCTGTACTCAAACATAGTACTTGTGAAAACTTATTGTCTTAAACATTCGATTGACAGGCATTTTTGTTCGAACACCCAAGTTGAAAGTAAAGCGTTCTTTTTGTTAATGTTTAAATCTTTCTTCTTATCATTTCTTGTCTCGGAGCCTATCGCTAAACGATACGACGACAATTTCCGACTCAACACAACTCAATATTATCAAAGATACGCATCATGTCCAATTATTTTCTTTCTTTTTATGTGCCATGTCATTTCAGGACGTAGGCAATCATCGCTTCCAGTTCTCAGGAAGCCCCTTCCCTCTGCTTCCCCTCCGAGACTACGTTATCCACCAGCTCAAGCTCGTCAGATATACCACGCGCTGCTTTCCCTTATCTCTCTTTCTCTCTATTCGACCCGTGAGTATCAGATTCTCCAGGCCCTCCTTCACCATTATGTGTCCCAGAAACTTCAGCTGTCGCTTCCTGGTGTTAAGTGCAAGCCTTCTCCTTGTGTGCATCCTCTCTAAGACCTCATCGTTGCTCACACGTTCGGTCCATGATATCCTTAGCATCCTTCTGTAGAACTACATCTCTGTCGCCTCGAGTCTCTTCTTCATCTTTGAGGAAATCGTCCAACATTCGCCGCCGTAAAGAAGTACAGATGTCACGTAACAGCACTGATATCCTCCTGTCTCGCGATACTCTGCCCAGCTTTTGGAATGCGTCCTTAGCCCTCCCAATATGTCTACGGATTTCAGTGTCGCACTTACCGTCCTCTGTCAAGACGCTTCTCAGATATTTAAAATTCCGCGTCTGCTTGATTCTAGCGTTCCCGACCTACAAATCGCATTCCGAGCTCATCCTCTTATTGATGATGAAAGATTCTGACTTCTTGTAGTTTGTGCTTAGTCCTTTCTTCTCACTCTCCGTCGCTACCTTCTGTAGGAGATTTTGTAATTTCTCTTCCGTGTCTGCTATCAGTACTGTATCATCTACGTATCTTATGTTGCTAAGATTGTGGCCGCCAATGCTAAATCCCGGTAGGGTTTCCAATTCTCTCAAAATCGCCTCGCTGTACTGGTTGAACAGTTCTGGTGAGAAGATGCACCCTTGCCTTGCGCCCCTTTCTATTTTGCATATTCATTGAACTCGTTCCCTATGCGTATGCATGCTGTTTGCTGCCAGTATTGGTTCATGATTTTTCTGATATCTTTCACAAATATATCAAGGTTGCTGATCAGTATTTAGTGCGATTAAAACTAGCATTACACTCGAGTAAATTCACTCACGTTATCGTATTGTTTCCTAATGATAAAAATTTCCTCACAATTTTACTGGAGGACAAGTGACACCACGTCTTATAAGCTTTTCTGTAAAAAAATTATGTATTTATGATTACAGGATTTTACTAGATTCTCTTCAGAATTCTCATTATCTCTTATAATGTAATTTCCAGCACAGCGAAGAGCTATCACTCACAACTACTAGAGATTTTGAAGTTCTCGAGAAAGTCTTGAGTTTTCTGTATACTTCCTGCTGACTTTTTAGTTCACGTAACTCTGCGAAATGTTTTAACAGAGAACGGAAAATGTGGCACTAAAATCCGAAGATGCTTTCCAAAAGCTAAGCACAGTATTGAGAAACAGAGAAATTTTGTTAGAAACAAACAGGCGTTATGACAGAACAGGAATTATGAGAGATAGCAAAACGGCAAACTTTATTAAGAGCTACAAGGAGCAGGAAATTGTGGAGAGCTATAATCACTTACTTTTAGAAGGAGCACTGCACATAGAAAAAAGAAGAAACCTGTGTAAATGGATTGCAGAACAGAGATTGGGGGGTATTATAAAAAGACACACACTATTAAGAACTACAAAGTACAAGAAATGCAGAGCCATGATCTCTCAAGTCCTGAAGGGACACGGTACACAGAAGAGAAAATCTTTGATTAAACAAATCTGCTTGCCTTTAAATGAGTCAAACTTTAGTAATTTTTTGTTATGCGTTGACAATCATTGTTGTTATTATTATTATTTTATTTTCTTTGATTTCTGGCGTTTACACATTTCTTTCCGGGTCCCGCCCAGAGGTTAGAAATGGCATCATGACAAGAAAAAAAAATTGCATAGATAAAGCCCTTCGTAAAGTGTGGGCTGTACTTGTCAGAACAATTTTTTGTATCTCTTTGAGGCATAGACTTCCAGGAATCTCTTCAATTAGTCTACTGGAATCTTTTCCAACCAGTTCTAGGGCTCCAACTACAACAGGGATTGTTGATGTTCCCATATGCCACATTTTTGAGATTTCTATTTCAAAGTCCTTTGACAGCTTTTTGAATATCTTCAAAGATACATTACAGTCTGCAGTGACTGCCATATCAATAAGGAGGCACTTTTTTGTTTGTGGTCTTTAATAACAATATCTGGGCGGTTGGCTTTGATTGTTCTGTCAGTGTGTATTGTGTAGTCCCAAAAAATTTTAACAGTTTATTATTATTATTATTATTCTGTTTGCTCATTTCTTAGCACGACCGTTATGCCCTATCAGTACCTCATAAATAATGAACTATTCAATTTTGATCTCATGGAAAAAGGGAAAAGACATATCAGAGACGCTATTTGGTATCAGTGAGAAAAATAAAGACAGAAAGAAAAAAGGAAGATATAAGTGTTTAACGTCTCCTGTCAATACCTCATTTTGATCGCGTGGAAAGACGGAAAAGACATATCAGAGAAGCTACTTGGAAATAGTACAAAAAGCATTAAGAACTACAAAGGACAGGAAATTGTGCAGAGCTATGATCTCCCACGTCTTGAAGGGACATCAACTGATGTAGAAAAATTTTGTTGTAAGTAGAGATGCTATGCCTGCTGTGATAAGCATAATTGAAAATGTGATGTTAGTTATTACGCATCACCTCTGGAAAGTCCCGGTAGCGTGGAGAGGATAAAACAAAGACCAGGCGCAAATTTCAAAAAAGGGACGTTAATTATTTAACACCCATTGACGTTGAACGTGTTAACTCGGATCTAATTCCGACCAATGGTGTCCCC